ACTGGACGACCCACTCCTGGAAGGCCTGTAGTCCTTGTCGGACCTCAGCGCGCTGGAATCTGTCGGCCAGGATCCCCAGTGCATAGGCCATGGTGGCAGCCTGGTCAGTGGTCCAATCACGCACAGCTGATAGACCATGCTGCCACTTGAGCTTGGTGGCATTGTCGATAGGCACAAGGTTGTCGTCGGGCATAGCGTGTGCATGGGTGTAGATGATGTCCGCCGCGTTCTCGCCAGCCTCGGAGAGCGCGTCGTTCGTCCTGGCCATGGCCTTTGCCAGCAGCTGAGTACATGCTGCCATAGTGCTCCACCATCGCGTTGCCCGACTGGAAGTGCATGCCCCCGTGCCTGCTCGAGGTGCTCGGATCTTCATATGGGCAGGAGCGCGTGCCATGCCTCGGCCAACATAGCGGTGCCGCTCATCAGCTGATATATTCATGATGTCAGTATAAAAGTATTCCACGTTCGTGATCCATCTGGCGTACTGCATGCCCAAGTCGTCGGCGGCCTCGGACGAGGACTGGTACGCCTGGGAGTCCCGAATGTAGTCGGGCGGTGCATCGTACTGGACCTGGCGGTGGCAGACCTGTGCCCACAGCTCGTCCTTCTCTGCCGCCGTGAGCCTGGCCACCGTCGGGCACGGCGGCGTCATCGGGAAGCCCAGCAAACGGTCGTGGGACTGCTGCTCGTCGTGGTCCATGTCATGCGCCTCCGCAGCACTGGGGGCTGCCCCTGCCTCGGCCGACCGCCAGATCGCAGGGCCATCGGGGGCCCGCGAAGGCAGGTCGGCTGGCGCCGCGCGGCCTCCGCTCGAAGGCGGCCCGCACATGTGCGCGGGCAGGGGTGGGCCATCCACAGGCTGCTGCTGAGACGCCGCCTCGGTGACCTCTGGGTTGAGGGCCTCCAAGGGGTTGTCCTGCATGCGCTCGAGCCTGCGCTGCTCAGCCTCGCGCTTGGCCCGTGAGCGCTTGCTATTCGGGTCCGCAGCCTTCTGCTCCGCTGGAGGGTGCGCGAAGGAGAAGGGAGTCGGCAGGATCAGAGCCCATGCTGGCGCCGACTGTGATGTATACTGGGCCACAAGGCCCATGTGGCTCTTGTGGTCTCCCATTGTGTCCGCAAAGAGTTTGGCGGGCACGTGATGACCTGGCCCTCCGATGACCGCGTAATCCAACATGCGGCCTCCTGTGAACTGAGTGAAAGAGACATTGGAGGGCTTACAGATGCGGCCGTCGACGTAGTTGACCCATCCTGACTCCTCCAGCTCCGTCGGTACCAGGTTCCAGTCGCCAATCGCGATCCAGTCCCCCATGAGACTCTTGATAACGGCCCCGAGGTTCTGTAGCTTGATGAGGTTCTGGCCAGCCACACCGATGGATGTGGTGAGGTACACGATGAGCACCGTGAGCTGGCCATGATGCATCTGGATGGTGAGCGCCTGGAAGTCCCAGAAGTCAATGGGTCCTGCGACGAAGTGGGGCTCTGGCTTCCTGTGGCGCAACTGTCCCTTTGTCTGGTTGCGGTAGCGGGCCAGGTGGCCCAATGATGAACACTGCAGGTGGCGTCGAGCTCCCAAGACCACTCCACCTGCCTTCTGCACTGTGCCGTCGGCTCGCGACGGTGAGATAACTGCCTTCCAAGCTGATGCATCAAACTCTGCAAGCACTGCGTCACTGGTGCGCTCGCTCTGATGAGTCTCCAATAGTCCGAGGATGTCCGCCTGGAACGGCGGCGACTTGACGATCTTCTTGCACTTTGGCCCCCAGTCGGTAATGTTACGCACGTAGATCGTGCGAAAGCTGGGCTGGCTAAAGGTCCTCCTTATCTTTGGTTCGCTCCTCGTGGGCGCGAGCCCTTGCGGCCTCAGCGAGCTTGGTGGCTGCATCCGATCGCTTTGCTGCACTAGCTGCGGCAGGAGCGGCGGCGGACGCGGCGGTAGGTGCAGCCTCAGGGCCAGGGCGACCGCCATCACCACCGCCAGCTGCAGCAGCGGGTGGTGCCGCGGCGCTGCCCGTGCCCGCCTCGGCGGCCTGAGCCCCACTGCCGTCGGCCTCGGTGCGCGGCCGCTTGGCGCGGAGCCTGCTGCGCAAGGCTTCCAGCTCTTGCTTGCGCTGCTGGATGGCAGTGGCGCCTGAGCCGAAGACCTCCTTGACCTTCGTCTTGAGCTCGTCGAGGAACTGCTGCTTGAGGTCGGCCCACTTCTTGGAGTCCTCGGCGTCGAGCTCGAGGTCGGAGGTGTCGAAGGCCTCGCCCTCCTCGAAGGCGAGGTCCTCCCCGCTGAGGAGGAGCTTGCTGAGGTTGAGGCCACCTGCCGTCGACTTGAAAGCCGAAGGCGTCCGCGTGCCGCGCGCCTCGTTGATCGCGTCGAGGGTCTCCTGCGCCGCGGCCTGGGCGTCACCGAGGGCCTCCGCGCAGTGCTGGGTGTGGGCCTCGCATTGGACGACCCAGTCCTTGGCCTTGCTCTCCGAGGTTGCCGCCTTCGTAAGTGCTGCCGCTGCCTTACGTTCAGCTGCCAGGAGACGTTGGTACTTCGCGTCGAGTGACTCCTGCTGAGCTGGCTTAGGCGGTGCGATCTTGTCTTTGAAGAGTGCCAGCTCGGCGCGGGCCTCCTCCGAGAGAGATTTGTCCAGCATGGCCAGGAGGGAGTCAGTGTCAGTCGGCTCGGCGTCGGGCGGCTTGGACGAGGGTTGTGACTGCGGCTGCCGCTTGCGGCCACCCTTGGACTTGGGCCAGGCGCTCCACGGCTTCCAGCCGTCCTGCCAGCCCGCCTGCTCGCCCTGCAGCGCAGCGTGCACGCGCGTGTCCCATGCCCCGCGCGGCTGCTGGCTGCGCCAAGGGGTGACCGCCAGCTCGAGCGACTTGCCGCAGCCGAAGCACCTGTCTTTGCCTTTCCACGTCCAGTTGTACGAGCACGCCGCACACTTGACATAGCCAGGCTTGGACATGTCTGGTGAGGGATGGAGGCTAGCGAACCCCTCGCCCCCGGTGCGCACTCCACTGGGAGCCGCTGGTCGCGCACTGGGGGACGAGGGACCTCCGTGAGGGATGAAAGCTGCCGCGGACTAGCGGTATCCAGTCTTGCCAATGCGGGCTCAGCCCGCGGAAGCATTGGTCTTGAGCCAAAATGGCTACGGGGACGACGACGACGACGACGACGACGACGACGACAACGACGACGACGACGACGACGCCCTCGGACCAGACACCTATGCGGATTCCTACGCGGATCCCAATGCGCACGGCGGCAAATGCCCGGAGCGCACTGGGGGGGGCAGCGTTACGTCATGGGGGGGGGGAGCGGGGGTCATGACGCCCGTCATGCCCCAAGCAATAAAGAAACGGGCTCCAATTGATTCCCTGTCTCGGCGCTGCAGTCGGCGATCGCCGCGTCGTGCTGCGCGCGATCCACGCGGCAGCCTGGCGAGTCGAACGAGCCCGTCAGAACCCACTGAAAACGAAACGCGGCAAGCAGGCGCGCGCGCCAGACGCCGCGCGCAGCCCATGCGGGCGTTGAACCACCCAAATCTCAACGCAGCCTGCGACCTGCCGCGCCCACGCGCAGTGCCAGCACCAGCACCCAATAACATTTAATGACGGAGGGCGGCATGAGTTTGCAAGCGCATCGGCGCACCGTAAAAAAACACTCCCCTGCGTTTTCAATAGCTTGAACAGACATCGGCGAGCCCGCACCTTCTTGCGAAGCATCTTCAGCTTGCGCCAGGAGACGGAGCGGTGCGTCTGCGGCGCCTCCCTGAGCCCCAACGTCTCACATAATCGATTCTGGCTTTCCTCCCAAGAAACTGCGGATGAAAATGAGGAGCGACATGAGGAGGGGGGAGGGGGGAGGGGGGGAGGGGGACACCATGCCTGATGCCATTCAGGCCCGCGAGGGAGGGGTCGGGAAGAGGGGGGGAGGGCTGACGCCATGGCTGACGCCATTCAGGCCCGGGAGAGGGGAGGGGCGGGGGAGCTCGCTCAAGCTTCACTCTGTCGGGGGGGGGAGGCTGACGCCGTGGCTGACGCCATTCAGGCTCGGGAGAGGAGAGGGGGGGAAGGCCGACGCCGTGGCTGACGCCATTCACGCCCAGGACGGGGGAGTCGGGGGGGGGGCGGGCTGACGCCATGGCTGACGCCATTCAGGCCCGGAAGGTGGGAGGGGACATCCCATGAGTTCGGCTGTTCACGAGAGATCGTCACTTTCGAATATCCGAAGGTTGCCCAAGCGAGTTCAACCTCTCTATCTTATGAGGATGTCTCGAGCGAGTGCTCCACATTGAAAACATAAAAGGTCATCCGTTGCAAGCGGAATCGGTAGCACCCCGGATCGGCGGCAATGGCCGGGGGCCACTACAATAGTCAAAAATCATTCCCGGACTATGTATTAACAATTTCTGAATATTCCTCCCGTAGAGGGACAGATCCGACTTCAGGTTAGCGAAAGGGGGCAGGCCTTCTCAAGAAGGCAGCGGGGCTTCTCCTCAGACGCCCTCTGGCCTTCCGAGAGGCCATCCGTCGGGCGTTGGCAGGACTGGGTTTAGTGGGACCTGATTTAATGGTGTGTACTGGGGGACGCCCACCCCGCCCCGTTCCACTAACCGGTACTGCCGTCACCCGAAAAAGCACCAGGTACAGCAAACCTGGATTAGTGATTCTGGCCAATCCGGGGGCTCTGGGGCCCTACCATCAACCGGGTCCCCTTACCTGGGGTCCTGGCTCTACTCGACTCTGGCCTTTCGAGAGGCCCTCCGTGGCTTCGGAGAAGGCTGAGAAAAAAAGCGTCTCAACAAGGCCGGAGGCCTCTGGAGGCTTCGGGGAAGGCCGCCGCCGACCCGTGGCACCAACGGAACGAGAACGGCGACAGCGACGGCGACGGCGACGGCGACGAGGACGACGGCGACGAGACGATGCCGACTGCCGGCGACGAAGACGGCGGCGGCAACGACGGCGGCGACTGGCAGCGACTGCTGGTGACTGCCGGCCGCGCGCCAGCCCCGGCGGGGCGCCGTGTACCGGTCCGTGAGCACCAGCCCGCGCTCTACGTCGACGATCAGCCCCACGCCGAATCGGCGGATGAGGGTGGAGCCACCTACACCCACTCTGGGAGAGCAACAAGCAGTATCGAAGACACGCCGCCGTGCGGAAACCAACGGCGAGCTGTTGTCGGCGAAGCACCAGGCACTTGGGCAAAAACAAAAAAGTGGCACGCCGACGGGCTCCCAACGGCGGCGTGGCATGCATAGTCTTTTTCCCTCCAGACTGCTCGTTCGCTCAACCGCCTGCCCATATGCGACCGCAGAAGCACAGAGAAAAAAGGCTTCCTGCTCAAGTGGGCCTGCAACAAACTCAGTTGGTCCGAAGAAGGACTCGCATCGCCGATGCATCGGCGACGTCGGCCGCAGATCTGGTTCCAGTCCGAACCGCATCGCAAATGCTCTCGGGACGCGCTGACCTACCCCCAACCCCCCCCCTTCATTCCCCCTTCCCCCCTCCCTTTCCTACTCCCTCCTACTCTGCCCTGCCCATCCCGCCCCTCCCTCGCACGAGGGGGGGAAGAGGAGTAGGAAGGGAAGGAGGAGGAGGAGGACGCGGAGGAGGAGGAGGAGGAGGAGGAGGAGAACAGAGAAATCCAGAATGTATCAACGGTCCTGCAACAACACACACACACACACACTTGCGTCGGCAGCTAGGCAGAGTGACTGCGCTGGCGACCGGAGTAGAACGGGGCAGACGCTACGCGAATTGTGAAACCATGCAAGAAGGGAGAAAAAAGGACGACGGCGACGGCCGAAGAGGGGGAGGAGGAAGGGAGCCAGGGCCGCTCAGACGAGCAGGGTCCCAGCGCGTGGCGGGTCGTCGCCGGCGGCAGCGGGGGCCCGGGCAACGGCGGGGCACCGGGGCCAAGCGGGGGGAAGGCTGACCCGGTCAGCAGGAAGAATCGGTGCACGCGATCAGTCGAGGAAAACCGGACCCCGAAGGAAGGGGAAGGGCGGCGTGGCCCGCACCAGCGGGCATGGGACATGGGGAGAGGCGCGGGCGGCGAGACCGGCCCGGGCGCTGGGGCCGGGGAGCGCGCGGCCACGGGGCCGAAGGGAGACCAGAGATGGATCCCCTGAAGGTCCGACAAGCCCAACTGCGGGACCCGCGGATGGTCCGTGGGCGGGCACCGAATAGATGCGTCGTCCTGTCGGAACAACGAGAACGTCGAACCGGACGGCGGGGCCGCGGCGAGGAGCGACGTGCGGCTGCGCAGGCAGCACCCATAGCAGGGCAAGCCCCGAGAGGGGCCAAGAAGAGACATGGCGCGGGGGCGCGGACCCACGGCCTGACCCAGAAGGGCGAGCGCAACACCCGGCCGGGACGGGCGGGGGAGCAACGGGCGAGGGGCGGAAAGGCGCCGGCCAGGGGAAGGGACAGAGAGGAGCCGAGCCCACTCAAAGTAGCCCAGTGCGTGGCGGGGCCGGCGCCTCCAGGGGGCAAGCAGCGGCGGCGGGGCCGGTGGGCGCTGGCGGCAGCAGGGGAAGGGCAGCGGAGGCGTCGTAGTCGCCCGCAGGCTGCCTGGCCCGCGGGAGGGCACTGACAGCACGCGAGCGGCCAGAAGGCAGGGGCGGGGCGCATTGGCGCGAGAGCGACAGACCGGCTGCCGAGGCCAAAACTGGCGTGGGGCCAGGGCCCGTCGAGGTAAGGACGCAGAGCCCCGCGGGAACGAGCAAGGCGCACCGCCACCCAGCCTGGGGGGCACGGGGGGCGGGGGTCGGGAGAGCGGAAAACGCCGAACTGAGACTGGTGCAGGCGGCGGCGCTTTCGCCCGGCCCCCTCGATGGGGGGGGAGCAGGCGTGGGGGACTGCAGGACAGCACGCCGTCCGGGGGAGGGGGGGGGCGGTGAGCCGTCGCAGGCGCTGCACACGGGCGTAACCCTGGGGCAGCGCGGGGGGGCGGGGGGCGCGGGCGACGGCCCCGGGAACCAAGGAAGCGGCGGCTCGGTGCAGGGGCACCAAGGCTGACGCACCAGAGAGGGGAGCGTGACCTCCAGGGCATGGACGCCCGGGCGGAGCCTGGGTGCGGGGTCAGGTGATCGGGCATGACGGGTGCAGCTGCCAGGGCGTCGCTGCCTGGATGGCTCGTTACTGGGCCAGGTTGGGTCGGCGCGGCATTTGCCTTTCCCGGGGGGCTCAGGCGCCCCGAGGACCCGCTCCAATATTTGGATCTGCCTGTCCCTGGCTTGGTACTAGTCGATTGGGGGGCCATGTCTCTAGCAGAGGTTGCGAATGTCGAAATCTTCTTCAATGAGTTGGGCCACGAAGTCCTGGCAAATATGATCCTTCCCCTCGGGGCTGCAGGTAGCCCCGCGGCGCCCTTCCCTATAGTCGCAGAAAGTGCCCCAGCCAATGACCAGCATGGGGCCGCGCTCCCTCTCGTGCCCGTTGACGACCTCAGGCCGGGTCTCCCCATAATTTCTCGAATGGCTTGGTGGGGCCTGTAGTAGAACTTCCCAGAAGTGTTGTGGCGGGGCGCGCAGTCGGCCTGTAGGCGCGAGGTGCGGCGCGCGCGGTCGGGCGGGTTGGGCCGGGCCGCCCCTCGCGCGCGTCGGGGGCGCCCGATCCTCCGCGTATGCGACGCATGCTGTGGGCTGGGCTGGTGCGCTCTGCTGTTCGAGGGGCCTTGCGCACCGGTTCTTCGAGTGGCGGGGGGGGCGCGGGTCCGCCGTCCGACTGTTCGGCCTGCGGGGTCAGTCCAGCTTCAAGGCGGCCGCCGCGTCGTTCCGCATCGCCGCGAGGGGCGCCACGGGGAACAGACGCCGCGCCCGCCTCGCGACGAAAGGCTACCAGGCGGCGGCGATTCGCGCGCGGGGCCCCACCCCAGTCAGGGGCATCGATGCGAGGCAGGGGCGGAGAGGCAGGGGAAGGATCAGGGGAGGCAGCGGCGGGAGAGGGGTCGACAGCATCGTCGCTGGCGGCCGCGACGCGCCGGGCGACGCGCGGGGGGCAGCGCCTGCCGGGGGCGCGTGGCTCGAGCTACTCCGCGCCCTGCTGCGCGCTGCGCGGGGGCGTGCGGGCCCGGATCGGGCTGGATGGCTGGCGCCCCTCATGCTGGTGGCGGACCTCTGCACTGGGCGCTGGGCGCTCTGCCAGAGTGTCCGGCGCGCGCGGGGCAGGAGGTTCACCCGGGGCGGGCAGGTTGCTGGCGTTACCCCATCGGGCCCTTCTCTTCAGGGCGGGCCCCGATCTCGTTACAGTTCGGACGGATAGGGCGCCTGCCTCCTGCCTTAAGGCCGCGTCCGGCGAGTGGGGCAGCACGCGCGTCGCGGATCCCGACTGACGCCAGGAAGCCAAGAAGCAACTGCTGGCCGCGCCCGATGGGGCACCCGCCGTTATCCCACGCGTGGACGCGCTCCAGGCGGCAGGAGCCCCGCACGGCCCGCCGTCCTGCGCGTGCTTCCAAGGGCGGGCCGGCACTTCTGACTGCGCAGGTAGCTGACGAGCTGGGCCATCGCAGCGCGCTTCCAGCCCCAGGCGGCGCCGCTGGGGCTCCCAGACCCAGTGGCGCCGTGGCTACTCAAAAGGAAGGTCTTGCATTGGGACTCTGGCCAAACCCCAGGGCCCCGGGGGATGCCCTTAGGGGGGGGGGGGGGGGTTCGGTCCGCTTTGGCCATAGCCGTCAGGGGGCTATCCCTAACAGCAGCAACGCACTACCGAAAAGGGCTCCTCGAACCTGTGCCGAAGGAGGTCGAGGAGGGAAAAGGATGGTGACTCAGATGATGATGTTGGCGCTGCATGTGCGCGCGCTCCACGCCTTCCGCCACGCGCCAGCAGGCTCTGCCGCCCGCGGCACTTCGACCGCGGGCCGAGAGCCTTAAAAAGGCCAACGGGTGGGAGAGGCTTACAGGGCCCCCAGGGCGGGCCAGCTTGGCCCGGAAAGGCTAGAGCCCCAGAGGGGGAAGCGGGAGAGAGCAGGCAGAGGCAGGAGCAAGGACAAAAGGAAGACGGGCCCCCGCATTCCTGGGGCCAGGGAGAGCCTAGCGCTTGACCAAACCACTAAGCGATCCCTGACGGCAATAAGGCACTACCCAAAAAGGGCTCCTCGAACCTGCGCCGAAAGAGGTCGAGGAGGGAAAAAGATGGTGACTCAGATGATGATGTTCGCGCTGCGCGTGCGCGCTCCACGCCTTCCGCCACGCGCCAGCGGGCTCTGCCGCCACCTCCTGGGCGCGCCGGGCAGCGGTCGCTACCGGCGCACCCCCTGCTGTGGTCCGGGGGCGCAGGGCAGCCTGCGGCAGCAGGCCGCCAGCGCTCCCGGGGTTCTTCGCGCGCCGGCGCCTACGCGGCACCCGCGCGGGTCGCGGCCAGGCGGCGTGCACTGCGCGCGCCGCCGGCCGCTCCTCAGCCTGCGCCGCCGCCCCCATCGCGACGGCACTGCAGTTGCGAAGTCTGCGCCAGGCCTGCCGTGGGGAAGCCCACGGGCCCAGCCGGCTGGGGGCTCCAGCGCGGCGCCAGCTGCCCTCGGGCGCCCAGCCGCCGCCGCCCCAGCGCCCCGCCTCCCGCGAGCGCACCGCTGCCCGCCGCGCCCAGCGCCGAGCGCCGGCGCGGCTTCGCGCGCCAGGCCGAGGCCGGCGGCGGAGGCCCCTCTCCACCTCGAGCCCTCGCTCGCCAGGCCCTTGGCCAGCGGCGTCACTGGTCAGCCGCGATGCGGCTTGGTGGCCACCTCTCGCGTGACCTCATCTCCGCGCTGAAAACCTTGGTTCTTGTGGGGGTAGCGGGCGCCGTTGTAGCGCGCCGGCCCTTGGACCCCCGCGTCGCAGTAGATCACCTTGGACTTCTTGGGCGGCTTCCGATTGTCCTCCACCACTTCCTTCGGCATCCCGCGCGAGCCCTGGGGCCGGCGGTCCTGCCTCGAGTTGCACCAGCAGTGCCAGGCCATTGCCAGCGCCGTGGCCAGCACCACCACCAGGGAGACGATGAGCTTCAACATGACCTCCATGGGGGTCGTGATGGCGACGCCCACCCCGTCCTCAGTCAGGCGCGCGCTGACGTGCCTCTGGTCCTCCTTCACCACTGCCAGCTCCTGGCCAGTCGCCGCCGCCTGCCCTGGCGCGGCCGCCGCCGTAGCTGCGGCTCCGAGAGCCGAAAAGCCTCCGGGGGATGCTCGCCTGGCGCTGCTGCCGGCGGCTCCCTCCTGAGGCTTCGCCGCGGGCGTCGTCAGCTCCGAGCGGTCGTTGGCCGTGCGTCTGGCTACGTCGCGCTGCGGCTCGCGCGACTCCCAGAGGTGGGCGCGGAACGAAGCCGACGCCCATCTCCCGCAC